TTAATACTATTCAATACGATTAATTTTTATAATATTACAATAAATACTTAAAAATATTAATTATTAATAAATTAAAACTGGGTTTGGGATCTAAAAAAAAATAAACATTCACTGGGGAATTAAAGGTACTAAAAATCATTAATAAATATCTCCAAGTATCTGCTGAATCTCGTAAAAGTTGATTTTGTCTGAGAAGGTCTGCTCTTGGTTGGAAGTCTTGTCTTCAACTGGACTTACTTCGTTCACTGTTTGGTATTGTTCGGTGCATTCTTGGTTCTTGTAAATTGGGGTTAGAAAGTGTGAAGAGTTTGGGTTGTACCATGATGTTGATGGCATTTGTGTGAGCTGGTTTTGGTCTAACATCGGCGGAGAGTTCATGGCCGTTGCCATACTCGCAGCAACTCTAGCATTCTCCTTCTTCTCCTTCATTCGGCGATTTTGGAACCAAATTTTGATCTGCTTTTCCTGCAGATTTAGCTCCAATGACAGGCTGTACCTCACCGGTCTGTTGATGACGGGCATCTTCTTAAACGTCTCCTCCAGCTTGCTCAGCTGGAAAGACGTAAACGAGGTGCGTACTCTCCTCGGTCTTGTTACTCTTCCAGCGTTTTCTCTAGCTTGCTCTTGTGCCATCTAATTATAAAGAAAACAGCAATAAACAAATTAGTTAGCAAAATATTAAAAAAAAAACGTTTTTGTTGATCAACGATCATAGTTTTTATATTTAATTTGATGTCAGCTATTAGTGTATATAACCATTTTTTTTAAATAAAATGCTGAAATTTCTCCCAAATCAAAGATTTCTTTTTACAAATTGTCTTAACTCGTTTAAACTTTCATATTACCATCAACCTACACGTTTAATTGTTAAATTTAAGAACAAAAATATGAAAGTTAGAAAAAATATATATGTACAAGGAATATATTTAATAATAAAAACGATATAAGTTGATTCTAAAATATTTTACGTTTTTTTTAACAACAACAATGTAATTAAAATATTTGCCGAAAATTTCAACCTGAACATTTTAATTTCCAATAGTTTTATTGTAAAATTTAACAATCAGCCTATGTAAATCTTAAGTTATAAAAGTTTTAAATTTTATGATAAAAGTCGTACGAAAAATTAAGCTGGGAATTTGTTATGGTGTGACGAATTCCATGAAAACTTTCAGTTTCGGGCTTTTAATTTACAAATAGATTTTCCGTTAAAAAATTGTTGTTTCTCTTCAATTTTATTAACGTTTGTTTTCTATATGGAAAATTTTACGTTGGCTATTTGAAAGCAAAAGCAGTGTTTTGTTTAAACAATTGCAATACGCAGAGATTGCGACGCTGAAAAGCGCCGTTTTCGTGACCATATAAGGAATTGTTTATGTGTTCGCAGCTGCAGATGATTCATCGCGACGTTTTAGAACCGCTGCGATTCATCGTGTCGTAGATCGGGCGTTTTCGTAACAACGAATTAAGAATTGTTTAAACAATTGCAATGCGCAGCATTCGCTGATTCATCGAGACGCAGAAAAGCGACGTTTTCGTGACCATATATGGATTTGTTTAAAGGTACGCAGCGATCGCTGATTTATCGCAAATGCAAGAAATAATAAGAAATATTACAGGATGTATGTTAATTACAATATAGTAAATAAATTTATTAATTTAGATTAAATTTTATAGAAAAAATCTACTATATTTACAACTTTTGTCATAAACAAACTAAAAATCTTAAGAGAAATATTCGTTTTATTCCATTTTACCAGTCCAGATCCACAAATATACTTGATTCTTTTGCTTTCGTTTTTGTTTGTGTTTTTTTTTTAGTTTCAGGTAAAATTGTGTTGTTTATTTTTTTTAATGAAAGTATAATCTGCAACATCAAAAATCAGGTGAGTCTATTCAAATCATTCACTTTCTTCGAACTAAATTAATAAATTTGTCTAAGATCTAAATCAAATTTACTCATAATTTTTATTTTCTATTATCACACATCGTATAAATATCAATTAATACTTGAATGAAAGATAAATATACAGTCTTTCTAATGAGCCATTCTCTAGATTTTCTGTAATTCATTTTCAAAATTTTACAATTATTTCTTCAAGCTACAAAAATTGAAATGTTTTTACGTTATATTATTTTTCTCAATTATCACTAATCGCACAAATATCAATTAATACTTGAATGAAAGATAAATATACATGCTTTCTAATGAGCTATTATCAAGATTTACAACTTACATGGATTTTCTGTAATTCATTTTCAAAATTGTAAAATTATTTCTTGAAGCTACAAAAATTGAAATATCTTCACGTTATATTATTTTTCTCAATTATCAGACATCGCACAAATATCAATTAATACTTGAATGAAAGATAAATATACAAGCTTTCTAATGAGCTATTGTTGAGATTTACAACTTACATGGATTTTCTGTAATTCTTTTTCAAAATTGTAAAATTATTTTTTGAAGCTACAAAAATTGAAATGTCTTCACGTTTTATTATTTTTCTCAATTATTACACATCGCACAAATATAAATTAATACTTGAATGAAAGATAAATATACTGTCTTTCTAATGAGCTATTATCGAGATTTACAACTTACATGGATTTTCTGGAATTCATTTTCAAAATTGTAAAATTATTTCTTGAAGCTACAAAAATTGAAATGTCTTCACGTTTTATTATTTTTCTCGATTATTACAGATCGCACAAATATCAATTAATACTTGAATAAAAGATAAATATACAGGCTTTCTAATGAGCTATTAGCGAGATTTAAAACTTACATGGATTTTCTGTAATTCATTTTCAAAATTGTAAAATTTTTTCTTGAAGCTACAAAAATTGAAATGTCTTCAGGTTATATTATTTTTCTCAATTATCAGATATCAAATTTTTATCAATTAATACTTGAATGAAAGATAAATATACAGGCTTTCTAATGAGCTATTGTCGAGATTTATAACTTACATGGATTTTCTGTAATTCATTTTTAAAATTGTAAAAATATTTCTTGAAGCTACAAAAATTGAAATGTCTTCACGTTATATTATTTTTCTCAATTATCACTCATCGCACAAATATCAATTAATACTTGAATGAAAGATAAATATACAGGCTTTCTAATGAGCTATTTCTAGATCTACAACTATCATGTATCATGGATTTTCTGTAATCGCACAAATATCAATTAATACTTGAATTAAAGATAAATATACAGGCTTTCATTTTCAATTTCATAGAATTTCAAAGCATTTTCATTTAATTTTCGAAAGATAAATATACAGTTTTTCTAATGAGCCATATCATGGATTTTCATAGATCTACAACTATCATGGATTTTCTGTAATTCATTTTCGAATTTGACAAATTATTTCTTGAAGCTACAAAAATTGAAATGTTTTCACGTTATATTATTTTTTTCTCAATTATCATAAATCCCACAAATATCTATTAATACTTGAATGAAAGATAAATATCAAGTAGTTTTTCTAAATGAAGAACAATATTTTCATTAATTAGAAATAACGATATTAACGAAAGAATTGTACAAAATTCTATTTTCTTTTTCTCGAAAGAGCCAAAGACCAAGTAATAAAATAAAGAAAATTTCAGTAGCTTTCAGATTTCTAAAGCCAAAATGTATTGGGACTTCGGTAAAAGCAAGATTTCTAAGCCTGCAATAAAATCAGCTTGAGACGTACTTTTCCTGTGCATTTTACAGGCACAAAACACTTTTACTGCTCTCTCAATAGGGTTTTAAATCTGCAAGATTATCACTAAGAAAATTTCTTGGGAGTTTTTACAATATTTATTTATTTTTTTTTGCATTCAAATTTGTTTATGCATCTATTGAAAATTTAAATGAGTTGAAGATGTAGGAGGAGATCCCAAGTATGGTTTTTAGTATGCTTTTCCACTTGACTCTCTGCATGATGCACCTTTATGATTGCTAACAACTTTTTGAATTTGTTTAAACAAAAATCAAAACTGAATCTTCAATAAATTAGTGAATCAATGCACGAATTTAACTCATTTTTACTTAAGTTGTATATTATTATGATTGCTAACTTCTTCTTGATTTTAAGCACAAATTTAACTGATTTGTACTGCAAAATTGAATATTCTTGGGATTAGTGAATCAATGCACAAATATAACTCACTTTTACTGAGGCTTTTTAACAATAATTTAGAAATTTGTCTGTAGTTTTCCTTCGAAATTTGATGTTATAAAAATTGACGCTCAAAAAGTTGAGTTTTTTTTCACATTTTAGTGATTTTCTCCAAAAATCAGATTTCATCCAAAAGACGCTTAAAAACGCTGAATGTTTGGGGAATATAACAAGTATTTACATTACTGTGGTTTCATCCATTTTTGGCCTTCAAATTTTAGTCTTTCAAAATTTGTGTTTCCTAGAAAAAAATAATGTTATTTTTTGCTGGTGAGAAAACCGATAATAAAAGTTGGTTTGACTCCTGCCACTCGGCACCTTTCTGAGTAAAATATAGTAAATTTCAGTAGCTGCCAGACGTTTGGAGCCAAATGGAAACGTTGAATGCTTGCAATAAAACCATTTTCAAAGGTATTTTTTCTAAACATA